TCTTTATCAAATATCTGGTTTTCAAATATTGTCTCCCAAGCTTGCCTTTTCAAGAGCAAAAGTTTGGAGATTGGGGGGGTGGAGGGGGGTCTCACTTTGTTGCCTGACCTGGTCTTGATTCTGTGCTCAAGTGGTCCACCTGTCTCAGCCTACCAAATGCTAGGACTTAAGATAAATGCCATAAGGCCTGGCAGAAGTTTTTAATTTTTTAAAACATTTTTATTAGTATACCATAGTTAGAAGTTTTTAATTTTTGATGAAGTATAGTTAGTGGATTGTTCTTTTTTTAAACTTGTGCTTTTGTGTCTTTTAAATGTTAAAATAAAAAATTAGAAGGATACATCCATATAGTGAAGTATTATTCAAGAATAAAAAGAAATATCTTTCAAACCACAAAAAACGATGCAGAATAACCTTAAATCATATTGGTAAATGAAAGAAGCTGATCTAAAAGGCCATATATAGTACCATTCCAACTATTTAACATTCTGGAAAAGTCAAGACGATGGAGACAGTGAAAAGATCAGTGGTTGCTAGGCAGGGGGTGGGGGAAGGGAGAAATGGATATGGTATCACGGGATTTTTAGGGCCCTACTCCGTATGACACTACAGTGGTGAATGCATGTCATTAAACATTTATCAATGCCCATATAACACAAAGAGAGAACCCTATGTGAGCTATGGATTTTGTTGATGGGAATGTGTTAGTATTGGCTTGATTGTAACATTCTATATTAGGGCAAAATGTTAAAAATAGGGGAAATTGGATATGAAGAGGTACAGGTATGTGGGAGCTGAATTTTTCACTCATTTTTTGTAAACCACAAATTGTTCTTTTTTTAAAGTCTATCCATAAAAAGAAAGAAAGAAAGAAAGAAAGGAAATGATGCCTTCGAGTGTTAAGGAAGCCTCATGATTTCAAAGTAAAGTTCCTCCCATTGAAGTCATTGACATTTGGGGTTAACAGCCAATAGTGACCTCCCCTCACTTCCTCTTGATTTTTGTCCCCACATTGGCCTTCCCATTTCCAGTCAGTTGTCACATCCTGGCAGTGTCTTCCTACAGTTTCTCTTTGCATCTTTGCTTCCTACTTTCTGTAGTTCTTGTAATCTCTGACCTAGACTTTCTCTAAACCTTCTGACCAAATACATTTCCTTCCTCCTAATCCATTCTGGTCCTTTACAGAAATAATTAGCTCATTCCTCACATCCAGACTCTTTATCCTAATATTTAAGGTCTTCTAGAAATTCTGATATTGTCTCCAATATGGCAGTGAGAGGACAGTTTCAGAGTGTGACCTTGTGTCATGCATGCCCTGCCCCCTATTCTGTAGGCTTAGGGCCCTGTTCCTCTGAGCCACCTTAGTGTTTTACAGAGACCCCTTTTCTAAATGCAGACTCTGGTCATTATCAAGAGTTAGTACTGTTATGCACTAACAAACTTGATCAGTTTGTCAATCTGAATGATTCAGAAAACCAGGGTCAAGAATGGAAGTCATCCTAGCAGTACTAGGATGGAACAAAAGAGAACCATGCCAGGCCAGCATGGAATGGAATGAAGGGGAGTGGTACAGACAGCAAAACTGTTCCAGAGGAATCAGAACTAGGGCGGGAAGTGGCTGGTCTACCATATAAGCAAAGAGAACAGCTACAGCCAAGCAGGCTGTTTTATTCTTAAATGCATTATAGCCTTAATTGAGAACCATGGTGAAATTGATAGACTAGGAATTTGTTTTCACATATTGCATTCCCCAGGAAGCATGTATAAAATCTGATGTTCCTCGACTATCAATGTTCAGAAGAATGGACTTTAAAAAAAAGTCTTACTGATAGAATCTTACACAGTCCAAACAGTATTAAAATAAATATTCTGCCCTAGAATTTGTTTGAGGACAACTTGTTATGTTACATTCTTGGAGGACATTTTGTGTGAGAGTAGAAATATCCAGAGGATGCTCAGAGCCTTTCCAGATGTTTGTGTTTTAGCCCAACCCTGTGCCCAAGTAAATAAAACTGGTGAGCATGTTCCAAGGAGGTCACCTTGGTGCAAAATGCCATGGCCATGTTCCAAAGCCATTCTTTTGTTTAAGTCTATTTAACCACTCAGTAAGGTCTAAATATCTTGGATCACAAAATTGAAGCTGGGTTGTGTTCGCCCAGTGCTGTTCACTGCCTCCTTTTTTTACTGGTGCCTGCCTCATGTTACTATCTGGCTTTCCTCTGTTCTGCTTTAAAATGTGAGTGTTTCCTTTCTTACTCTGTTCAAAGTTGGAATATATACAACTCATCACAGGCAGCATGTTTCATAGACAAGTAGGGTGGTGCCCATCCTAACTGAACCCTGAGAAGTGACCATGACCCTGGCCATGAAACAATAAGCGTTTCTCTACATGCAAAGGCCAGTGAACCCTTGCCTAGATCCTGTGGCTTCTGGGGGCTCCTTTCATTGCCTACAATCCCTTCCATGTTAGCAGTAGTCATATATATGGTGTTATGTTACTTTCTCATATTCTTTTTAAAGGTGAGGAAAGGAAGGTTTGGAGATATTAAGTAACTGGTCTAGGTACATTTTAAGTAGAGTACTCACTAACTCTTAAATCTCAAAGCTCTTTTACCCAAGGAGAAAAATAAATTATGAGAAAACTACAGTAATTCTGTCTGTGAGAAATATAGCAGTACCCCCTTATTTGCTGTTTCAATTACTGTCAGCTATACTCTGAAAATAACTAAATGGAAAGTATAAACAATTTATAAGTTTTAATTACTTTTAATACAATATATTGTTATAATCTATTCATTATTATTAATCTCTTACTGTATCTAATTTATAAATTAAACCTTACCAAAGTTGTGTATATATAGGGAAAAAACATACTGTCAATAGAATTTGGTACTATCCATGGTTTCAGACATCCACTGGAGTTCTTAGAACATATCCCCTGAAGATAGGGGGGTGAGGAAACTATAGTATTTTATTCTCATAAGTGAGATTTTGAGTATTATGAAGATAAAAAAACCTAGCACCTCTAAGATGTCAATTTCAAGAACTGGTTCAAAACTGGACAGTTTAAAACATGAGAGGGACACCCTGAAGACACTTTGCATCTGAAACATTGTTGCTCATTTTCTACTTGAGAAAGAAAAGAGAGCCAGAAAGAGGGAGGAGGAAGAGGAAGAGCTAGGGAAGGGTGGACAGCCTCCCTGGCATTCCTGGTTTGTTCTTGAAATGTTCTTTGTTTTCACTATACCTTTCCCATTTATATATTTATATTGGGTATCTTCATAGGAAACAGTTATGAAAATGTAAGATAGGAGTTACTCAAGTAAGTCATGTAAAGGAGGACTGAATAGCTACTGCTGTTTTGCTAGCTACAGTTCACATAACAACAGCACAAGTTGATCTTGATATGGATATTGATTTTGTTATTGTCACAAATGCTAAAATTTCAGCTCCCAGTACTGCTTAGTAAACAGTTCTTGGCTTTTAAGTTAAGTCTTGCAATGACTTATACTAATTAGAGCTATAACTCTATCCAAAATTCTTTCACTCACAAAAAGTAAGGTCCATGTTGCAGTGCACCTCAGATCGTATTAATTTAAATAAAGCTTGACACTGTTGCCCCTGACTACTGTTGCCACGTAGTGATGTGTTAAAATCCTCTTTCTAAAACTAATGTTTCATACACTTTCAGGACAATAGGAAACTGGAGCGAATGTGAGACAGTGGGAAGGACACAGTCTTGGGGATCCCATCAGAAAGTCAAGATGTGGTTATAATCCGCAAACCATCTGTCCCATTTATTGTTGACGTGCTGTTTAGCATAACCCAACCTCTGAGTCACAGTAGTAGTGGTGGTAGTAAAGGCCCTCACCCAGCCTGTGGGGGACTAAGGTGAGGATGGGATCTGTGAAAATCTTTGCAAGCTGTGGGCTGTCTAAGGCTGCTATTTCTAGATTCCACTACCATTAAAACAGTGGCTTTACAGCAGTGAAATTCACATACCATGCATTCCACCCACTTCAGGGGTGTGATTTGGTGGTTTTTAGTATATTCACAGCTATGTGCAACCATCAGCACAGGCCATTTAAAATAGTTTTTTTATTTCAAAAAGAACATCCTTGAACTATCACTATCATCCCTTTTCTTTCCTTTTTTTTTTTTTTGTAGTATTGTGGTTTGAACTTAGGGCCTACACCTTGAGCTACTCCACCAGCCCTTTTTTTGAAGGGTTCTTCATAGATAGGGTCTCTGGAACTATTTCCCTGGGCTGGCTTCAAACTGCGATCCTTCTGATCTCTGCCTCCTGAGCAGCTAGGATTATAGGCGTGAGCCTCTGGCTCCCTGCTCCCGTGTGTGTGTGTGTGTATGTGTGTGTGTGTGTGTGTGTGTGTATGTGTGTGTGTGTGTGTGTGTGTTATTTTTTTTAAACTTTACTTTTATTTATAAAGTATAATTTTAGTGAAATTAAGTAAAAATAAAATTACTTGTACATGGCATTTAAATACTGCTTCCTTTGAAACCTCTGGAGAGGACTTTCTGGTTAATGAGGCAGGATAAAGATGGTGAACTGTGTGGTAGTGAATGGTATCCCTGAGATTACGATTCCAGCCTGTTTCTATTTTGAGAAGCAGAAAAGATGAATGAATACTAGCTGATACTGTTGAAGTTGGGTCATACACATGGCACAGCTCTGTGGGAAGGCTGAGGGGGAGAAGTGCACTAATGGGCAGACTTAATGTCCTGCCACCCAGGAGCAAATCTGCTCACTCCTAGGAAATCTGTATTGTTAGGAAGCTGCTGGCATGCTTCTTTAACTTTCTAGACATGAATTTGACTTCATATGGCAGAGAAAGGAATTAAGGGAGGGAGGGAGAAAGGAAGGAGCCTCTGTTTTCTGCAAAACCCAAACATTGTCACTATGTTGAATTGGGGTGAAAATCTGTGTGTGCAGTGTTGACTGGGGGAAAAGAAACTCATCCTTGGTCTCCTTTTTGTTCCAGGCCGTCAGATCCCACCCTTGGACCCCCATGAAAATGGAAGCAGTGGAACAATCAAGATTGGAAACCAGAGCTTACAAGGCAGCCGGCGATGCTGCTGACCCGAGAGCTGTGGCACCTGGAACTTGAAGAGGCTGGAGCCCTCACCCATGCCCTGCTGAAGGCACCAGCTTTCAGGGACTGGCACTGACCACACTCCTGGAAGACCTGCAGAGAGTGAAGAAGAAATGTCTCTGAAAAGGGATTTTAGAAAACTCTGGAAAAAAATCAACTGTGTCACCACAAATGGCCTTTAGTGCGTGAAGTGCACGTGGAGGCATTATACTTATTAGGCAATAGGTATAGTTGCCTTTTTTTGTTAAAAACATTAGAAAAATTTCAATTTGTACATAGATCCTAAAGTACTGTTCTCCTCTGACTTCTGGTGTCACCTGCTTACCCAGGTTCCAATAATTTCTCCAGGGCTGTTGCCTGTGTTACCTGACCAGCCTTCACCAAAAGGCAAAGTCAATGTAGATGATTAGTTTTTAACTGGCTTTGGAAGTAAGCCTTTATTTATTACTTTTCTGAGGAAAATCAGAGAAGTGTAACTGGACCATCATTCAAGCTAAGACTTGGGCTTCTCTCAAAGAGAAGAAAGATGCACTAGAAACTCACCTGCATCTCTTTTCATTTAATTGATGAACATTCTTCTAAGTTTTGGTCATATGTAAACAAGGAAACCAACTCAGACACATTGCATATAATTTGGGGATTGGGAGTCCTAGTTTAAAAGAGTCAGTTAAGTAGTTACTATGTAAGCAGTGATAGATGGAGGGTATCAGTATTATTCAGGAGTCATCTGGCATGCATCACCTCCACAATAACAATTCTTATACTCTTAGAGGTGCTTAATGCACAGAATATGTCATGGTGTCAAAGCTATGGCAAAAATTGATTGGAGGATGTTTGAGGTTAGATTGTAGGGCAAACTTCTAATAATATAGCAATTAATCATAGGTCACTGCAAAGTCAGCAAGTAGAAGTATTACTGCCATAAAGTTCTAGACCCCAAAACTGTAAAATCAGAGGTAGCATTTTAAGCATTGCCAGGCTTGAGAAGAGGGGACAAGGCCAACCAGAGGTCCAACCCAGGAATGCTGATGAGCTAAGAACAGGCTCTGGTGAATGCAAGGGAAGTAAAGAGAGGGAAAGTGTGGAAAAGAAGAAAGCTATTTCACTGAAAATTCAAATCCTGTTCCACTCTAATGTTCATAAAAACCTGGGATCAAAAAGCAATTGGCTTCTTAACAGGGCTTGTATTGGGAGGTGATTCTAAAAAGGATTAGAGCATTAGTGCCTTTTGTGGGGCCCAGGAAGCCATGCAGGCGCAGCCTCAGAAGTGGGTCATTATGCAGCATGCCCGTAATGGCCAGCTGATATCTTTCCATGGACACCCAAGGACCACGAACCTTTATTGACAACCCGTGTAAAAGTCAGGAAGGGAACCCTAAGCTGATTCAAAGCTGTGAGCTTCAGTAGCTCAGTACCTGACATAGAGACCTGTCATGGGTATGTCACCAAGCTCTTGATAGGCAAGACACTGAGTCATGTCATCTGCAGAAAGGAAGGGATCTGGAGATCTTATATTTGTTTTCTTTTTTGAAATGCAGTCTTGCTATATTGCCCAGGCTGGCCTTGAACTCTAGGATTCAAGTAGTCCTCCCAGCTCAGCCTCCCAAGTAGCTAGGACTTCAGGTGTGCACCACTGCTGTCATCTTACATTTTCTTTATGTTGATTGTAATCAAGGAAACAGCCAGGTTCCAATCAGAGACTTATACTTCCAACTCAAGAATGTGCTTCAATGTGGCTGACTTTCTATTGCTTCACCCAACTTTGGAGAGTTGAATGACAGTCTTAGGCTGGAAGACATTTCTTTGGTTTAAGAGGGTCACTTGGCTTCCAGAAATAGGGACCTCCAAAGTGTTAGCAAGTAGAATCTGGATCTCTCAGTGTTGCCTTTGCAAGGCTTATAGGGCTTGTTACCATGTTGCCGACATCACTGGCTGATTCTGCTAGCAGGCCAAGGAATTATCACACTGCTTGCCAAAGGTGAAAAATTAAACATTGAAATGACATTTGTCGGGATGTCAAGCAAGCTTATTCCTAAGCAACTTTCCCTGAAAGCCTTGGTTTCTCTGCCAAGATATGTGAACTAAGAAGGTACCATTCGCAGCTGAGAGTGTCGCAGCTTTAGGCTGAGTTTACAGTGGTTGTATTTTGCATAAAATGTCTGGTTTTAACCCATGTATTGTACTACCCACTAATGAGGCCCTGGTTTTATTTCAGAAGCACATGAGGGTTTGAAAGCACTCTCACCATTCTGTATTGCCTTAGTGATTGAAGTCAGTCAGAGGGCAAATGTGTGTGTGTGTGTATGAAATCACCACAAAGAGAGTGGATGGCACTTGGGCACACAAGTATTCCATGCTATCTTGAGTCTTCTCTCAAGATAGATGCTTCAGCCTTGTTCACGATGGCACTTGCCTACGCTTCTTTATTTTGACTTGGGATTATTTTCTGGCTCTTCTAAAAATAGAACCATAACCACATAATAGTATGTAAAGGCCTGGAAACTTACTGTTGCCCCAGAATGCAAAGTAGTTTCATGGGCTATACATCTTGGCATCATCACCCAAAATTTGACAACTCCACCCATTTTTCTTTCATATGTGGTATGTATGTATATATGTGTAAACATGATTTTATATTGGTTACACCAGCATGCAATCCATTCCAAACTGTGAGTTTGGCATATGGCCGTGTGTTCTGTGAGATAGTATGGATTCTCAGAGGGATTCCTTGCCACTGCAAATCCCTGAGAAGGGTTGTGGAGTCACGCAAACATTTTATGTAGGTACAGAATTGACTTGCCATTTTCTAGTTAAAAATGGTACATTAGGGTGCTGAATATGATGTTACCATGCAGACCAAAAGGTTGAAGACCTAAAGCTAAGTTTTAACCAACAATAAGGGCAGGGCCCAATGGAAACCAAGTTCATTTTCCAAGGGAGGTTTGGATGACAGATGTTTCGTCTAAGGTCAAGGCTAAGGCCTTTGTGCGGGCTTCACTTCTCGCTGCTCTGCAAGACTTGTGGCAGTGGAGTGATGAGCCAGCTCATAAACTAAGGGGCTCTGGGTTGCATTCCCTTTACCACCACTGCGAAGCCACACCCTGTGATCCAGTGGTAGTGCTGTTGCCAACTGCTGCCTCTCCTGGTGTATCTGTAAGGGGCTTCTGGCGGGCTGGACCCGGTTCTTGCATCTGGAAGATGCCTCTGCAGAGGACCTTGTACCTTGTACTCTGTTCTGTAGTCACATGCTTCCCTCAACAATGCCCATTTGTATCAATTACTTCTGGTTTTAACACTGATTCATACTAATAAATATTTTAAATTTTACCAAGTTTGTATTTTTTCTTATAATTCAATAGAATCTTTAAAAATTGCACTCAGCTCAGAATAAAGAGTGGCAATTCCCCAGAGAAGCATGTGCATCTGTACATATGAAGACATGTAAAAGGATATCATGGGCACTGCAGGCAATAGCAAATGGTTTTTCACTAAGGAAGTATGTAAATAAAATGTGGCACAGTCATGATGAAAGCTATGCAATAGTTACTAAGAATGTTGTTACGTGCCAGTGTGAAATGTTGTGGGCTGGTGTCGAGGATTCTTGCCCTCGCAGGCCAAAGAACTCATGAGACAAGCCGGTACACGAAGTAGGATTTATTAGAAAGGAAAGGCTGCAGCTAGAGCAGTGCAACCATGGATTCACGCACACGGGTCCTCTTCCATTAGCTGGTCTGTTCGCCCCTTATTGGGGGCGGGTGGAACAACCTTGAGAGCATTCTGTTTATCAGCCCCGTGTCAGATTTATGAGACCCTGTATCTCCTCCTTGGTGCAGGAATGCAGATTTATGAGACCATGTGTCTCCTCAGGGTGCAGGGCTCATAGTGCTGTCCGTGAGGATGTGATACTCACTCATCTGTCCTTTAGGCTCCCAAAGCCAACAGTGTGTTACGTGTGCTGCATCAGCATGCATCTCAAAAGCAGAATGTGGAAGGCAAGACTGCCGCCCTGCACTCCCCCAACGGAGCCTCTCTCAGTGATCTGTGTAACAGAGCTCTCAGGAGCTGGACAGTGCACAACCTAAGTAACAAAACTGTGGCCCTGGCAACATGAATAAGTGAAAATTGAAGTACAAATGTACTTCAAATTTTATTTATGCATGTATATGAAAATAAAAGAATTAGAAGGGAAAACAACAGCTTTATGATGTGGAGAGGGGAGTAAACAGGATATTTAACCTCATGATATAAAATCTGAAGGCAACATGACAAAATGATAGCATTTCATAAATTCAAATGTGTTTTATTAGTCTCTGTATTTCTCCAAAGATGTAGGGGTGTGGAGATAAGAAACAGTGAAGGATTAAGCTAAGTTTTTAATACTTTAGAAATACTGTGTAAGTGTAACTGTCGACTTAATTGAGGTGTGCTCCACGTCCCTCCCCTCAACTGCTTACCATGTGTTCTGGTGGAGCTTGCACTTTCCATCATGGGCTTTACAGATGGATGTGAAAGCCAGTGTGAAGTGGTCCCTTATGCTCTCTACATTTGTGACACTGCCCAAGGGCATGCTGGGATGCTGCCCAGAACAAGAACAAGAAACAACCCACTGTGACCAACAAGAGACCTGGGGTTCTGAGTTTGTGAAAAAACAAATTCTTCACATTTCCTGAGAAGTTACCTGTTTGTGGCAACTTTGCGGAGTTGCTTTAGGGAGTTATCCCACGATCGGATTCAGGCAGCAAGCTTTGTGCAGCACAGCCTTCTTGGTTAGTAGCATTCTGTACAGCGATCATGCCTCTCTTCCATCCCTCAGACTGGTTTCAGGTGCCTTCAGTAGGCACCAGTGTCTGGGTTGTCATGCCCTGGAGGCCTTCTTGGAAACTTGGCAGTTGTTGCAAAACAGCTCTCTTTTGGTGGAGTGGATTGGAGGTCAAGAACACACTGCTCAGGGCTGTGCTCATCTTGACTCCATTAGCATTCCCTGCTATTGCTCAGTCTAAATATTTCCAATCCAAGCAGGTATTGTCCAAAGTGCAAAACCTGTGGGTTAGACAAGGAGGAAGACTACCCCAGTTGCGTGAGCATTCATCTCCAGTACTGGCTTCATGGAAGTTTCTAGACATACCAAGGCTGAAATGACCTTTTGTACACATCTGAAGCTTTTCCCCTCTGTTCCATTGTTCTGTTAAGAAACCAAAAGGAATGCCACATCTTGGCAGGTCTACTGAAAATAGGTAGTCTCATACATGCCAGTCAGGGTGTGAATCGGCATGGCCTTTCTAGAAAAGCAGTTTGGCAATCTAAGTCTAAAATATTTGAAATGATCATGTCCCTGTGATCTTCTGTCAATCCGTTTTCTGTCACTGGGACAAAGTTCCCAGGATAATCAACTAAGAAGAAGGAAAGGTGTATTTTGTCCATGGCTTCAGAGGTTTCAGTCCATAGTCTCTTGGCCCTGTTGCTTTGGGTTTGTGGCATGGTACATCATGGCAGGAATGCATGTTGGAGGAGGCCTGTTCACCTCATGGTAGTGGAGAAGCAGAGAAGGAAGAGGCTGGGATTCCAATATTACCTTCAAGGACACACTCCCAATGATACAACTTCGTTCCACTAAACTCCGCCTCCCAAAGATTCCAGCACTTTCCAATAGCACCACATATTGGGAACCAGGCGTTCAATACATGGGGACTTTGGGAGACATTTCAGATCCAAATTATAGCAGCCCTTAACTCTAAGAATTAATTTCCAGGAATTAATTCTAAGTATGTATTATTACTTACATAAATATTTTATCTATCACTACAGAACACATTTACCCCAAACTTAAGTTGGTATGAAATAATAAACACTTTACCATCTTTCAGTTTCAGAGGGTGGCTTAGCTGGGGGTTTCTAGTATGACAGAGTTGAGATGTTTCCTGGTAAAGACTCAGCAAGCTGGGATTCTTCACCAGCTTTGGGCAGGAGGCCTGTTTCTTGCCAAGAGAGCCTCTCCATGGGCTGCTTGAGTGATCTCATGACATGAAAGGAGCCTCCTTTGTGTCTGATGCAGAAAGCTGAATTTAACCAACCTAGTTTTCCTAAGTAGCTTACGGTGGCTTCTAGCATTTTAGGTGTAAATCCTGATCCATGTTATCAGGATTTAACCTCATGCCATCTCTCCCTGGTGTGGGGATGGCTACATGGACATTTCTGGAGAACTTCTGTGGTGTTCTTGCTCCAGTGAAAGGGATGTCTCTGTCACCCTTCCTTTGATCTTCATACTGCCTGGAGATCTGACTCATCCTCTCTAGTCTGTGGTTACTGGCCCACTGTCCACACTCCCCACTTTGGTCTCTCTGTTCCATGTATTGTACACCTGACTCCCTCAGGCCACTTCCATACCCCACTCAGAGTACCTGGAGAGATATGGGATACAAGCTAGACCTCCATCCATCTATCCATCCATATGCCAACCCATTCATTCATCCATCCATCCAGTCATCCACCCACCCAATCACCCTCCCATCTATCTGTCACCCACCCATACATTCATGACTCACCCATCCATCCATCCAACCACCCACTCACCCAGTCATCCATCTACCTATCTGTCCACCCACCTACCCACTCATGCATCCACCTAACCACCCTCTAATCTATCCACTCACCCATTCATCCACCCATCAAGGAAGTATTTACTGAGGGCTACTGTGAATTAGGTGCCCCGTCAGAACTATGCATTTACCAGGCTTATAAATGAGGGTATGAAAAAGAAATGACAGAAGAACCAAGTATGGCAGGAATGAGAAGGAGCAGCTTACCTGGCGGAGGCACTCTGACCATGTGGGTAGGAACCCAGGGCTCAATCCCTTACTTCTCAAATGCCGCTGAGCAAGTTACATGATCTCTCTGCACCTCCGTTTCCTCCTGTAAAATGAGAATAGTACCACATTCCAGGGTTGGCGTCAAAATGAAGTGAAATCATGTACACATGACTTAGGACAGGGAACTTAGTGCCTGTGATGACACCATAAGCTTTGCCCTTTGCCCTGGAGCTGGGAAGGGTTTTGTTTTCCTGTCCTTTTTGTTCTTTTTTCATTCTCGGGAGTAAATGTAGTGTAGAGTTTAAGAAATTCACAGTCCAACCACCTAAGTCCTGCTCCCAACTCTAGTATTTGCTAGTGGTGGGGCCTTTAGCAGTTTAATCTCCCAGAGCCTCAGTTTCCCCATAGGAAAAATGTATAGTCATTCACATGCACAGAGCCATACTTCTAGAACCCAGAAAGCTTCAAATGGAAAGATTTTTCCTAAGCTGGGTTTTGCAGCAAAACCAGACCTGAACTGATTGATGCTATTTGTAATCATTATTGTTCATCAGGGTGAGTATTTGGTCATTTACCTGCAGAAATACTATTGTGGGTGATTGTAGGGCTCTTCCATTGACTGGGATGTTCTGTGATCAATATTTTACTTTTATAAAATCCAAGCAAAATTCTGGATTCTGGAAAATATATGCCACAAAGATATAGTGTACTGAGACCTATGTCATGACTGAGTCGGGAGTATTGCGTGGACAATGCCAGCTCATGGGGCACTCCAGGCAGCTTCAGGAATGCTTTCCACATGGAAGGTAATGCTCTCAGTGCCTCCTGAGTGTAGCTGCTGGGTTTTATCCTAGAGAAAGCCCTTCCTGTGGCCCTGGCACCAAGCAAGAGCTCAAAAGAAATCAGACACACAGACAGAGCAGCCTGCTATGCCAGACACTGCTCTAGGTGTTTGACACGACACTACTTCCCTTTATTTTCATAACCCTTATGAGGGTGAAACTTTTATTATCTCCATCTTACAGATGAGTAGACAGAGGCACAAGAGTTTATGTAAGTTTCCCAAGATCATAGACCACTAAATCAGAGTTTGAAGTCAAATATCTACTGTTATTTTCTCCTTTCTTTACTCTCATCACTACTGCAAATGATAAAGGGCTAGAGAAGAGGAAATCGTGTGTACTGAAAACCTCCATGAAGTACTTTCAAATCATATTTCACCTTGTCCACAAAACAAATGAGAAGGATGCACCACTGTTCTTATTTGTCAGGCTTTTGTTTTCTTTCCTTGTGGTATTGGGCATAGAACCCAAGGCCTTGCACATGCTAGGCAAGCACTCTCCCACTGAGGTACATCCCCAGCCCAGATGTTGTTAATTGTAAGGAAGGATCATGGAGAGCTCAAGGAATGATCTCGGTGAGAAAGTAGGGCAAGCTGTATCCATGTCAAGGCCTGTCCTACTTCCAAACCTATTCTCATATCTCA